TGGTGAGTAGTTAAATAATGTTGGAATATATTGTTGTTTCTTTGATATTTTGGCAAGTTTATTGAAAATTATTTTTAGTTTTTTGGTTATTTTTTACTTTTGTAGTTTTTAATTATATTTGTGCTAGCTTTGTGAATTTAAATCTTTATAGCCAATTGTTCAATGCATTTTTTAGTGACATAGAAAATGCATGTTAGGTATTAATAAAAAATGCCTAAAAAATATATAGACGGAGGATGAATCAAGAATAAAATTAGCGTTGTTGCATTATGAAATTTTTGGGTGAAAATGCATATAAACAATCTATATTATGTTTTTTAAGTCAGTGATCAGAACCCTTCGTCCGGAGGTGTTGAATACGTTCTCATCCTATTGGGTATTTAGGCTGAGCTTGAATTCTTTTTGTTAGATCGTCTTCTAGGCTTGGCCTACCTATACATATATATATATATATGTATTTAGATATATCATATCACCTTTTAGGATTATTCATAATTTGGATGAAATAAGTTTATTCACGTTGCAACTCTCTCGCTTCTCCTCTGGATTCGTATCCAGAATTCCTTCATCCTATTTCACTCCTTTCCGCAAACTATCATAATTTCTTCATGTTTCCTTCTCTGGTTAATGAACCATACCCTCTATGGCTTTGTTTCTCCTGAAGTCCTCATAGCAATTGAACTTTGGTGGTAAGGACCGGTGGTACAAGATTTTTGGAGAAGCAGCGCATATCAATTGGTCGTAGGATCGAGTTACTATCTATGGTTGTATCGATTCCCTTGTGATTGTATTTTTCTTACTAAATCCATTTCTTAGTTTTATGGCTTGTATTGTATTTACAGCACAGTACTGCTTCTGTTGTTTAATAGATTGATAGACCTTGTATGATCACCGGCGTTGACACTGTATTTACCCTCTTGCACTTACCATTAAATTTAATAGGGTAAACTGCGTTATTTTAGTCCCGTAATTGGACCCTTTATCATTATAGTCCTGTAAGTGGAGCCTGTCGCAAACTAGTCCCATAAGTGAAAATTTTTCGCTGTTTTAGTCCTCCGGCGCCGGAGACACCCGCGTGGCTCACCGGAGGTGACGTGTCCGCCAGGTGTCCCGCCACGTCAGCGACACCAAGCGGACACGTGGATTTATTATTTTTTTTTTTCATTTTTTAATTTTTTTTTTAATTGGAGCAAATAAAAAAAAATAAAAAAACTACAAATAAAATTTAAAATAAATTAAAAATAAGTTTTAAAAAAAATTTAAAAAATGAAAAAATAAATAAAAAATCCATGTGTCCGCTAGGTCAGCGACACCTGGCGGACACGTCACCTCCGGCGAGCCATGCGGGCATCTCCGGCGCCGGAGGACTAAAACAGCGAAATTTTTTCACTTATGGGACTAGTTTGCGACAGGCTCCACTTACGGGACTAAAATGATAAAGGGTCCAGTTACGAAACTAAAAAAACAATTTACCCAATTTAATAATAATGTGTGGTGAGTGTAGGTTTTCTTAACTCAAATAGCTCTGGGTATTTCTTTTTTTTTTTTTTTTTTATTCGACTAATTTTACAACGTATGTCTAATTCCGGTATAGAATATTGAAATGCACTAAAATGGCTTTTACGTATCTAGTAGGTACTTAAAATGTGGGACTTTGTGTATGGTAAATATGATTGTGGTTTAGATTTAAAAAGGTTACGGGGATTCAAACTAAGCAAGTGATAGGGATAATAGGAAATCAACTACATCATATGTATTTACCTTTGGTGGGTCATGTGTGAGTTGAAAATCAAAATTACTGTTGTAGTTGCTCTTTAAACTACAGAATCTGAATATATTGTAATAACTGAGGCATTATAGGAAGAAACACGGTTGAAAGGTTTCTTGTTTGAAATTGGATATATTTTTAGTGATGTGTTATATTTTGATAGTCAATACCGAATTCAACTCTGTAAAAACTGTATCTTTCATGATCGTACAAAATATATTGATATTAGATTTCATTCCATTTGAGATATTGTTGCAAAAGGTGGTGTTAAAATTGAAAAATTTCCTACAGAATACAACACAACGGATATCGGTACAAAACTTCCACCTGTGTCGAATTTTTTTTTATCATTTTTAAAGGAAATCAATTATGACATATTGGTGCGAGGTTGTTGTTGGGTCCAATATATTTGTATCTGTGTTGTCTAGACTTATTTAAAGATTTACTAACGCAGTGTTTTATTTTTATTTTTCTTTTTCAAGTACTAGGTTGTGATGATGCCCTCGTAACATCAACTAATGGTATGGTGTCATAAAACATTTCAAGATTTATTGGAATACAACCCGGGACATACGCTACAACTCAAAAGCAGTTGGAACCATTGGATCAATTAGGGTTAATTTGTGGCCGTTAGATGTTGTATCTCTATATTTACCCAGATGTTTATTTTTGTAGCTGTAATTCACTCATTCACACTCTATATTCAATGCCAGTTATCTTCAGTGCGATTTTGGGCTTTCCTTAGCTATTCATCATCTCGATTTTCATTGGTGGTCTCCGGAAAAGTTTCCGGTGAGGAATCACCTTTCTATTGAGACCTGCTTACGACATTGTTATTCTATGATGCAAGTTTCTCTGTAGGTAACTTGTGAGTGATTTTGTATAGATTGCTTTGTATATTTGTGTGGTCGAATTTTGGAGGGGTTTTGGTATGTCCGTGGTGTCGATTGATTGCGGTGTTGGGTTCGGTTACCTGTTTTGTGAGTACGTGTTTTGTGTGTATGATGGAGGGTCTGATACCCTTTTGAAAACCCTTCATTTTTTATTTGAGATATGTTTGAGATATTCTTTAGAATTAATGTGTTGTTTTTATGTTTTTTACATCGAAATCTCTAAAATACTAAAACAAGTTTTGGATTCAAAACTCAACAATGAGATCATAGATTCGAATTTTCAACGCCTCCAAATATTGCCTAGTAGTAGGTTTACCTTGAGATTTATTTCGAACACACTTGAAAAATAGCTTACATCATAAAATAATATAAAAAAATTATGGATAATCTAGCAAGGTGTAAGGTAGAAATAAAGTTGAGTAGAAAATGATGTCTAGATTTTAACAATATTTGTAATAATTTGTCATTGAGTATCATAAAAACTTGTGATTTAAAAGCCTCCGCAAACTCCAACACTACTCTACAATTTGTAATTCTAGATAGAAAAAATAAAATTGGCGTCGGTCCAGTATTGGGAAAACATAAATATATATATATGAATATATCCTTGGCTAATAACTAGAAAATTCATGTGTATTTATTGAGTGTTTTAATTTAAGCTATCTTTTACATGAGATATACAAAATTGTATCAAAAATATAAAAAATACTCCCTCCGTCCCAAAAGTATAGTCTTATTATGTTGAACACGAGATTTAAAAAATATTGATATTATATTGGTAGTTGGTAAAAAGTAAGAGTAAATGACTTTTTTTTTTTTTTGCCCTTGTGAGTATATTAGTATAAAAAGTAGTGGCAATTGTGTAACAATAATGAAAAAAGTAGGGATAGTTTTATGGTGATATGGTTATTTATGGAAATGAGACTATTGTTATGGGACGAACAAAAATGCTAAACAAGACTATTGTATTGGGACGAAGGGAGTATTATTTTTTAAGAAAATCACTACCAAAATTTCTTTCATTAGCATCGGAATTGTATCAAAATCAATTAATATTTTTGTCTCGAATAGTTTCGGAATTTCCGAACCTATTGTATATAGTCTCGGAAATTCCGAATTTTTCCAGTCTCGAAAATTTTGAATCTCTATTAATTAGTCTAGGAAAATTTCGAACTTTTAGTTAGTCTCGGAAGTTTGTGAACCTATTCTAAACGGTCTCTGAAATTTTGAACTTTTACAGCCTCAAAAAATTTTAAAGCTATTTGAATTAGTCTCGGAATTTTCCGAATATATTCTAAATAGTCTCTTAAATTTTGAACTTTTACAGTCAATGAAAATTCCGAACCTATCAAATTATTTAAATTCACCCGCCACTAAAAATTATTTAATTTTGATTTTGATTTTGATTTTGATTTTATTTAGACATATATTTATAATTTATTTAATGTGTAAAAAATATAAAAATAATAATTGATTAAGTTATTACAATATAAAAATAATTAAAATAATAAATTTCATAGGTAATTAAAATAAACTTTGAATTTACAAAAAAATTAAAAATAAATTGATGTATTAGTTAATATGATAATTTAAATTCAATTCTATTTATATGACAAAAATTACAAATTTAAAATATAAATATACAAAATAATACAATTATAGTATAATTATTATATTTTTATATTATTAATAAAAATTTATTTTTATTAATATTTATAGTATTAAAAAAAACTAAACAAAACAAATCCTACTGCAATTTTCTACAAATAAACCCTAAACAAACACTAATTTCAGCCACCGCGGTCGTGGAGGTATGCGAAACTTGCACATGCATATGACGCAAATGAGGACGGTATTCCATGTCGGATGCAGAAAATTTAGATTTCAAAGAGATTAAACTTCTAGCCGAACGAGTAAATAAGAAACCGGATTAAAGATTCGATTATTGATTTTAAATAATCTTTTTATTCAACTGATAAATTGGTTATAGACATTAGAGACGATCATAACACCCAATTTTTCCTTACTTTATTGGCGGAAATGGTATGACCGATTAACCGCATCCCTAATCAAAGAAATAATCTAGGTACGACCATAAATTAATTTCTCCAATTGAAAATTGCATGAGAAAAATTCAATTCAAATATTTAATCAATTACGAAAAGATTAAATTATTTGATCATTCGATTCCTAGGCTAAGCTTGTTAACCTATTTACCACTTTATGAAACACATACACAACTACAGATGTAAATGTTCAATTGACACACAATTGCTAAACCAATCTAAGATTCGGCCACGATAAAAGATTAAATAAACCAATTGCAGGCATGAATCACATAAATCACACAAATATCAATATACTTAAACAAGATTTAAATTAAATCAAAACACAATCTCACAAATCTCAATCCAAAATCTACTTTCAACCCTAGACTAGACTAGGAATTTACCTACTCATACTTATAAATAAATAAATAAAACAATAACGTTGATGATTATCCGAAAGTGCTTCCTCTCTAAACGGTCTTCTCAATCCTCCACTTACACTACGAAAAGTGAACCTGAATTGTGATACCACATCCAATGCCTTGGCCCCCCTTTTATAGATGACCGGATCCTTAATCACTCCCTTAATTGCTCCTTATTAATCATGATGCCAACAATCGAGCTTTAATTTCCGTAATCCACATCTTTCCTTAGCATGGGAGCTTAATTCAAGTCTTTCCAAAATTCTTTGATCGAAAATATGGCATTGACGTGAATCACTCAATTACCTTGCACAAATCAATACATGCCAAAAATGAGTATGATCCAAAATATTGATTGAATCTTATAATTTATCTCTAGAAAATATATAACAATATATATTTATGAATTCCCCCACACCCAAACCACGCTTGCCCTCAAGCATAAACGAAACAAGCACACGAAAGAACTTGATGCAATCATAATCTCCACAACAAATTCATATTATCATTACCTTAATGAAACTCAAAACATACCAAGCGCAACATAACCTCACTAGAAATAAAGTGTATACACTCAACACCCAAATATATATGAATTAACAAGTCATTCGTGTCGCATCGTAAAAATGATTATCCCATAGGCTTGCATATTGATCACATCTCTTAATTTTTCAAATTCTAATGCAAATAATCTAAGGGTCTTTAAATAAGGTTGTAGCGGGGCTTTAGGTTGGGGTAGGATATAGGATATTATTCGGCTAAATAAGTCAAAAAAAATATTTCAAGCTCATTTTGTAATATATAGACTCCGTGTAAAACTTCTCATTCCTCACTTATTCCTTCATTAACATGCATACTCAAAACTTTATTCTTGCAATTTAGGTAAGAAGAATGCTCGCCAAGATAACCCGTAGTACACCCAACTCAACCGACAAGTTAACGTCAAAATGCCCATTCCTGCTATAATGCGATGAAAATTTGTGCCATGTTTTTTTTTTTTTTTTTACACTTTTCTCTCATAAGCAATAAACAACAATAAATATACATAACTTCCCATTCCCTTGAGACTTTAAAATAATATGAGCTCGAAACATTTTCTTTTGATTATAGGTTCAAATAAATTTTGGCTTTAGAAAGAAAGATCATAGGTTAAAATGTGGCTCTTTAAACAATAAAAAATAGGATATTCAAGCTCAAAAAGGCTCACTAATTGATTAATTTTTTAGGTAGGAAATATATCAGGCTAAATGGTTTACCCTAATACCCTTATCACATTAATCGCATAGACTTATCGGAAATCAAATTCGACATGCATTGCTATGCAAGTTCTAGAAAACCCAGTCTAGATCAAAAATCATACAAAGAAGAAATATGTAGAATTTAAAATGAATGCTCAATTAGGCTCAAATCTCACGAAGGATAAAACATGTCATGCTCGGCATATTTATCGTCTACTTCATTGGCAAGTCATCTAATGAAAATACGTCATGTTGAAAAGAAATACACGCAAGTCTTTAGCACACAAGTCAGTCATGCAATCGGGCAAACAATAGATATTCAACCCCCTCCCCCCTCCCACATCTACTATTCACATTGTCCTCAATATAGGGCATCGCGAAAAGTAAGAAGTTTAAGAAACAGTAGACTTCCCTAAGCCTAGGCATGCTTGCGTCCGGCATAGGCATACCAAAATTCGCATCACCTCCTCGAATGCCAATTAAATGCTCGAATCAAGGCTCTGGGCATCAGAAAAATCATCATCACTTACAGAAAGCAAAGACAAGCAAAGAATCACACAAAAAATGCAAGAGAAAACATGAAATATAATAAGATTGGGTTGCCTCCCAAAAGCGTTTTTTTTTAACGTCTTTGGCTAGACATTATTAATTGAGAAATTAAATAAGGGATCCTCAACTGCCATCCAAACCACGTCCTCAACTTCAGCGCTCTTTAGATAGGGCTTTAATCGATGTCATTCACCACAAATTTCTTTTCAGTCTTCGAGCTTTGAATTTCGACTGCACCATAAGGCAAAACATTAGTATTAACAAAAGGGCCAATTCATCTGGAATGTAAGTTACCGGGAAAAAGCATGAGCTTAAAATTTATAAAAAAGCACTTTATGACCGACATAAAAAATTTTCCTTCATATTTGTTGGTCATGAAAGGCTTTTGTCTTTGCTTTGTACGTCAAGGTGCTCTCATATGCCTCATTCTGAATCTCCTCAAATTCCTGCAACTACAACTTTCTATGAATTCTCGCTTCGTCAATAATCATGTTGCATTTTTTTATTGCCCAAAAAGCATGGTGCTCAAATTCAACAGGAAGATGACACGGCTTACCGAATACCAACCTATATGGCGACATTCCGATAGGCGTCTTGTAAGCGGTGCGGTAAGCCCATAGTGCATCTAGGAGGCGGAGACTCCAGTCCTTCCTATCCGGTCGAACAGTCTTTTCAAGAATAGACTTGATTTCTCGATTCGATACCTGCGCTTGACCATTTTTCTAAGGATGGTATGAGGTCGAAACTTTGTGCAACACACCATACCTCTTGAAGAGAGCAGCCATGGTCTTGTTGCAAAAGTAGGTTCCCTTATCGCTCACTATAGCCCTAGGCATTCCAAACCGGGTGAATATGGTAGACTTAATAAACTTTGCAACCACTTTAGAATCGTTAGTCCGGGTGGCTGTTGCTTCCATCCATTTTGAAACATTATCAATGGCGAGAATGATATATGAAAATCCATGAGACATGGGAAATGGGCCAAAAAAGTCGATACCCTATACGTAAAAAATTTCAACAAATAAAATTGGTACTTGAGGCATCTCAGCTCGAGAGGAAAAATTACCTATACGTTGGCAATTATTGCATGAATTGCAAAAAGTGTGGGCATCCTTAAACAATGTTGGCCAATAGAACCCGTTATCCAAAACTTTCCTTGCCGTTCGTTGGGAAACAAAGTGTCCCCCACAATTAAGGGTATGACAGAATCGAATAATGGATTGGTGCTCCCCTTTTTGCACGTATCTTCGCAAAATTTGATCTGAGCAACGCTTCCACATGTAAGGGTCATCCCAGATGTAGTACTTTGCGTCGCTTTTGAGTTTGTCCCTTTTAGCTTTTGGCCAACCTGCGGGAAACGCTTTAGTTACTATATAATTAACTATATCGGCATACAATGGAATACAATAATCAACTTGAAGGAGCAACTGTTTGTCCAGTGTTGTCTTCTTTAGTTGTAAATTGTCATTGTTGGCACAAGGGAGACGACTCAGATGATCGGCGACAAAGTTCTCCGATCCCTTTTTGTCCCAAATCTCCAAATCGAATTTCTGTAAAAGCAATAGCCATCTGATAAGTCTTGGTTTCGCTTCCTTTTTCGCCACTAGATATCGTAATGCTTTGAAATGTCGCCGGGGCATTGCAAAGACTGAATGGAATTCCTCTATAGGCAAACACTCCGAATGGGCATGTGAATGATGTTTTCTCTTGATCTTCCGGGGCAATGGAAATTTGAAAATATCCTAAAAATCCATCTAGAAAACAATAGTGAGCTCGATCAGCTAATCTTTCAATCATTTGGTCAATAAATAGGAGAGAAAAATGTTCTTTCTTTGTCATGGCATTAAGCTTACGGTAATCGATGCATTGTCGCCAACCAGTTTGCTTTCTTACCGGGACTAACTCACCATTTTGATTTGTCTCCACGGTTACCCCGGACTTCTTAGGAACAACTTGGATTAGACCTATCCAAGGACTATCAGCAATAGGAAATATGATTCCTGCATCCCGGAGTTTAAGAACCTCCTTCTTAACAACTTCTGTCATAATTGAATTCAACTTTCTTTGTCCCTGCCTCACCGGCTTTGCGCCATCGTCAAGTGTGATCTTATGCGTGCAAAATAAGGGGTTTATACCTTTGATATCCGCTATCGTCCATCATATTGCTTGTTTGTGTTCTTTTAGTACTTGAATCAAATGGCTCGGCAGCGGTTTTAATTCCAACTCCGGTGGCTGCACAATCTAAGACAATAAATGTAAGAATATAGGAGCTTGGGCATACCTGTGTGAAACTAAAGTTGTAGCTTCTAAGGCTTGCATCACTTCCGACAAATCTGGACTCAATCCTCAAGTAGGCATGCTTTGAACCTCCAAGTGTTTCATGAGTACTACTTCGAGCGCATCGTCACCCCTCAACTCAAAAGCATCCTGTACTTCAAGGTTAATAACATCTAACGAGAAAACAGAGTGAGGATCCAGGGGATATTTAATCGCATCGAAAATTTTGGATTCAATTTTTTCCCCATAAAATTCCATAGTCAAAATTCCATTCTTTACATCATCTTAGTATCCGCTGTACACATAAAGGTCTTCCTAAGACTAGTGGTGATGGGTTGGACGAATGTTCATCATGCATTTCTAGGATATAGAAGTCAACCAGGAAAATTAATTCAATGACTTGGACAAGAACATCCTCTATAATTCCTTTGGGATATGGCATGACATTAATTGTTGCACCTAAATCTAACATAGCATGCTTGACTTCTAATTGCCATATTTTACATGGGATTGTGAACATACCTGGGTCTCCGCACTTTGGTGGAATCTTTCTTTGGAGAAGGGCCGATATATTTTCGTTTATGATGATACATTTGTCACCCTTCAACTTCCGCTTGTTGGTGCACAATTTCTTTAAGAACTTCGCGTACTTTGGAATTTGGTGGATTGCATCCAAGAACGGTATATTGAGCTCGACCTTCCGAAATATCTCCAAAACTTCATTCTCCCTTTTTGGCCTTTTCAGCTTTGCCAACCTGAGATTTGGATGATCCTTTCACCCTTGGTTGTAGGTGTTTGAATAGGGATCATATTGTGGGCGCCTTAGTTGGTTGAAATCGGTTGCATTCACATCGGCATGACTGTCCTTATGCAGGGTAGGGCATGCATCGGTGCATGCTCCGGGCTCGTGCAAATTCCACAAGCTTTCAAATGGCGTGTGCTTCCTGCAGCCAATTGATGAACAACTTTTGTTAGTTCAGAAATTTATTGTCGAAGAGAATCGTAATCTTCCGAATATTCAACTCCTCTGGTTCCGAATTGTTGAGAATTCTTAGTCATCCTTACGATCAACTCCCATGCAGCTTTCGGGGTTTTATCCGCCAATGCTCCTTGGCTAGCAGCATCAATGTTGTTCCGGTCTCGCATGCCCAGTCCTTCATAAGAGTATTGGAACAAAAATTGGTTAGTAATTTGGTGTTTTGGGCATCGCGCACAAAGCCTGTCGAACCTCTCTAGCTATTCATGTAATGTCACTCATTGTTGTTGCTTGATTCCACAAATTTCCTTCCGTAATGTCGCCGCCCGCGATGCCAGAAAATACTTCTCCAAAAAAAAAATTTTCATGTCCCTCCAAGTAGTCATGCGTCCCGCCAGTAGAAAAAATAGTCATTCCTTTGCCGCATCCTTCAATGAGAAAGGGAATGCCCATAGTTTTACTTGCTTTTCCGTAATCATTGGTGGTTTCATGCTCGAACAAACCACATCGAATTCCTGCAGATGTTTATGTGGTTCTTCTCTCCCTGAGCATGCGGGTATCCTCTTCTCCCATATCGGGCTCTTGCTTGATCAATTCGCTCAGTTGAGAACTCGACGCCTTTTCAAATTCCAGCTTTCTTTTTGCTTCCTTTTGTAATGTCCTTGTCAATCTCTCGATTTCCGCTTCGTATATTAAATTTCCTGTGCGAAAAGAGCGGGGCATAAACAATTGAAATATATAATATATAATAATAAAATTGAATGACACGAAAAAAACAAAAAAAAACAAACGCCAGTCCCCGGCAATGGCGCCAAAAATTGGTAGCCTTGATGCTTCCAATAAAGATTGTCTAACAACACATATAGCAAGTGATGCCGAGGTCGATCCACAGGGACTGTGAAGTTTAATTCCTGATTTTGTCACATATTCAAGTATTTGAGGGAATGGATTAGCAATTCACTAAAATAATTAAAATAAGCGATGGAAAATAAAATTTAGATTTCAAAGAGATTAAACTTCTAGCCCAATGAGTTAATAAGAAACTGGATTAAAGATTCGATCATTGATTTTAAATAATTTTTTTATTAAACTGATAAATTGGTTATAGGCATTAGATACAATCATAACACCCAATTTTTTTCCTTACTTTATTGGCGGAAATGGTACAACCGATTAACCGCATCCCTAATCAAAGAAATAATCTAGGTACGGCCATAAATTAATTTCTCCAATTGAAAATAGCATAAGAAAAACTCAATTCAAATATTTAATCAATTACCAAAAGATTAAATTATTTGATCATGTGATTCCTAGGCAAAGCTTGTTAACGTATTTATCACTTTATGAAACACATACACAATTACGGATGTAAATGTTCAATGGGCACACAATTGCTAAACCAATCTAAGATCCGACCACGATAAAAGATTAAATAAAAAAATTGCAGGCATGAATCACAGAAATAACAAAAATATCAATTTACTCAAACAAGATTCAAATTAAATTAAAACACAATCTCACAAATCCTAATCCAAAATCTACATTCAACCTTGGACTAGACTAAGAATTTAGCTACTCATACTTATAAATAAATAAATAAAACAGTAAACTTGATGATCCTTCGAAAGTGCTTCCTCTCTAAACGGCCTTCTCAATCCCCCACTTAGACCATGAAAGTAAGTCTGAATTGTGATACCACATCCAATGCCTTGGCCCCCCTTTTATAGATGACCGAGTCTTCAATCACTCCGTTAATTGCTCTTTATTAATCATGATGCCAACAATCAAACTTTAATTCTCATAATTCACCCATTTCCTTAGCATGAGAGCTTAATTCAAGTATTTCAAAAATTCTTTGATCGAAAATATGGCATAGACGTGAATCACTCAATTACCTAGTACAAATCAATACATGCCAAAAATGAGTATGAATCTATCCAAAACATTGATTAAATCTTATAATTTATTTCTAGAAAATATATAACAATATATATTTCTCACCAAAATCTATATTCTTCTTCTCCTCCTTCCTCTCATTCTCCATCTTCTTCTCTAGCGACGAAGGCAGCAGCGGTGGCAGCGGACGACCAGTGGATCTATCTCTTCCTTTTTCAGCGACGGTGGTGACAACAGCGGCAGTTACGATGACAATGACGGTGGAAGGTCGACGGAGCCTTCTTTTTCTTCTTCTCTAGCGACGGCGGCGACAAGGACGACCACGGCAGCCGGTGGAGCATTCCCCTCCTTCTCCGGCGACAGAGGCGACGAAAGCTGCGGCTGCAACCACGGCAGCCGGCGGCTTGCGGAGCCTCCTCCTCCTACTCCGGTGACGGCGGCGACGATGATGACGGTGGCGGCAGCAGCTGCAGCAGTGACGGATGAGGCAGCCCCTCCTCGTCTTTCTTCTTCTTCTCCGGCGACAGCGGGGTTGGCAGATCTACATATTCATTTGTCTTCTTCTTCGGCAGCGGTGATGGCAGCGGGTTGGTGGCTATGGGGGTAGTGGCAGAAATTCAGTATTATATAAATACTCTGTTGGAAATCGCGATGGGTCCCAAAGAGGTCCAACGCCTCCGACTTTTATGCGAAGCGGAAAATATGAAACCGTGGGTTGTCGACATAGCTTTGAACGCGTTGTTGCCTTATGGTTGTAAAAAAAGTGTGTGTACGTGCACAAATCGATTGGTGGTGAGTGCAAAGAAGAACAACACACAAAAGGTTTAATTACCCAGTTCGGTTTTCGAACCTACGTCTGGGGAATTCCAATCTAGAAAACTTAACTAAACCAACCACTTGGTTTACACCATATAAGACACCAAACCGAACTACTCAACCTATCTTCTACCCAAACTCCATTTAGTTTATACAAACTCTCATGGACTGATTGTTACTGCGCCGTAACGACACCAACAGACCTGTGGCCAAGCTAAGAATAAGGTTGTTAATCGGATGAATGACTTATTCCGCTTCAGCTCCAAGAAATCCTTCTTCTTGTCTTCAAACCTCCATTGAAGAACCTTTCAACACTCAAGGTGAAGAGAATACACTCACAAGTGCTCTAATGGTTGTGTGTGAGATACACAAACAAAATATATACAACTACACAAAGGACAAAGCTAACTATGACAACTTTTGGGGAAGTGTGTTCAAAGTCATTTAATGCCATGCAGGATGTATAAAATACTCCACAGTCACTTCTGCATCTCTTCCACATATAACAAGTTATTTTGTCCCACAACATTTAAAATCCTATAGTCAAACCTGTTTCCTGTCAGATTTATGTTACTGGGTAGCTGCAACAACATGTCAGTGCTTGTTCATTGCTAAAAATTGCAAAAAGATGGTTTTGGCTTTTTGCTTGTTCCAACAATCTCCCTTTTTTTTTGAAGCAAGACATACAAAACAACAAGAAAACACACCATATGTATACAGACATAATCCACTCACAGTTATTACAAGCCATCAATTCGATAAGCCACATGCGGTTTTGACATCCAAATATTGTTGTAACGATCCAACAACACAACATATCACAAAAATATGGCAGAAATTAAACATAGTCAGCAAATGACAATACCAACATCCAAACACTGCCCCTTAATTGCACACGCTCCCCCTGGTTTGCTGCATTTTCTCCCCCTTGCATTGCAGCAGAGCCAAAAAGGAGGCATCAAGGGCCGACCTCCTCATCATCATGACCTTTCTTCCCAACAATATATAATCTCAAGTAGAAAAACAACAATAATGATTTATTTTCTCCCGCCTTTTTTTTATCTTTTTTTTTTTGTCTATGCCTTTTTTGTAATTGAAAACAAAGCAATAATTGCAAATGAAGTAAAGGGATAGAATTTCATGACCTTGAAGTGGAGCTATAAGGATCCAATTCACGACACAAGTTGGTTCCTTGTTGATCATATCGTGAATGAATAGTATATCTTTTTGCTCCATCAAGTTGTTGTTGATGACCATATTTGCATCTTGGAGTTTCTTGAATAATATTGCATCCATTAGTTTCTGATTTCTTTTGGGTCTCCACTCCATTCTGAATTTGATACGTTGTTTGAGCTCTTCAGTGGCCAATGAACCTTTCTTCCGACCATCAGATCCTTTGCCAACTTTAAACAATGAGATTCAGCATGACCAAATCGATAGTAGTACTTGAAGTTACTCAACTGTTGTGATATCGGATTGACATGTCTGTTCTTTCTGCGATTTTGGTTCTGCCTCTCATTCATGTTTTGCTTAGTACCTTCAGTCACCTTCTCATTTGGGGGTTTCCTTGGAATTTTTACATAAGTAAGGAGACCTTCCTTCACAAAAGTAGTGGGTTTCATCACCATTGATTATTGATAACCACTTCCTTTATGATGTCCGAATAGTTTTCCAAAGGACAATACTTCATCAAGCTTGTCCTTTCATTTTCGGAACCTCTTATTCTCTTCTTTTAGCTTTTCATTCTCCACTTTCATATTTTCAATTTCCTTCTAAAGATTTTCACAACTCTCAAACATTTTTTCATTCATTTCTTCGGCCTTTTCAACTCGAGTTTCCAATCGATAAGCTGTGTTGATCAGCTTTGTTTTTCTTGCAATACATATCTTTTGTTCAACAACAACTTCTTCATAAGCTTTCATCAGCTTATAAATATCCATTTTTATGGTTTCGTTGCTATCACAATCATCTTTGGAACATTCTTCAAAACATGCATTCTTATGGATTTTGCTTGATTCACCATTTTTTACCATAAATGCAACAACTTCTTCATCATCAGAAATAATAGTACCTTCACCATCATCACTCCATGTAGCTTGAAATGCATGCTTTCTTTTCTTTTTATCCTAGAGAGTAGAGATTTTGACTTCGAACTTTTTGGTAACAGATCCCATCATCTTTCGAACCAACGTTTGTTAATCATATTCCAAGCCAAGAGCATAAGCTTGATTCACTACATCTTTGAATCGAGTGTTGAACTGAGATACTATTTCATTATCATTCCTTTTCAAAGCTTCGAACATATTTTCCACCCTTTGAAGTTTTGTTTTTTTAACTTCAGCAATCCCTTCGAATGCATTTTCCAAGGCTCTCTATGCATCCTTTGCTTTATTGCAGTTTGAGATGACACGAAACTAAACTTCATCGACATAATAAAATATAGCATTTAAAACTTTGGCATTTCTACCAGCATCAATTTTTTCTTTAGGTGTCCACTCATTTTTCGGCTTCAAAACAATCGTTGGGGAGGGGTCGTTTTGAGTTTCTCCAGGCATTACATTGGTTGGAGCAGTCCAGCCAAGCTCTACAGCTTCCCAAGTTTCATCACCAAGAGTTAACGGGTAGCCCTCCATCCTGTTTTTCTAGTAGGTGTAGTTGTTCCCATCGAACACAGATGGACGAATGGACGAGATTACTTCACGACTCATCTTGAACCACAGACATATCTACTCGGGGCATTGAGCACGTTGCTCTGATACCAGATGCTGGAAATCACAGGGAAAAATGAATAAGAGGTCCAACGCCTCCGAGTACCTTGCACAACGGAAATGTGAAACGTTCGACGTAACCACAGCTTTACAACATAGATGTCTTGCTGTTATAACAGCAGTGTGTGTGCCTGCACAAATCGATGGGTGAGTGAGTTCAAAGAACAACAACACACACGAGGTTTGTTTACCCAGTTCGGTTTTCCATTCTATGTC